GGGGGGGTGAGCAATAATCAGGAGCTTATATGTAGTTGTCTCTTAATGATGCTTCTGTGTTCTTGCAGGTTCAACAACATCAAGCAACTCCATGACAAATCACTGGCTGGACTAAAAAGGGCAGAGCTCCTGATGCTCCACAGCAATGATCTCCATTACCTTCCAGATGCAGCGTTCAGCGATATGAGATCACTTCAGGTAACAAGCTAAGACACCATTTCAACCTTTGGCCCTGCACACACACCGAGGTCACTGAAGAGTCAGGCAATTTGAAATCATTCAGGTGAATAGTCTTGGGGGACAAGACAGGCAACGTTTTGGGGGGACTCTGAGGTAATTTCACACGAGCTAACGTTAAAGTTTCTTTCCAACAGCTGACAGAGGTCAGCTTTCTAAGTGAATTGTATGAATTGACAAACCAAGTTAAACGTGCATTTATGTGCCAGTAAAGAACAAACAGTAAAATGTTTCATCATTTATTTAACATCTGACTCTTGAGGCATGAAATCTTTTGAATGCAAAAGTAATTAGAACGTACTGTCACCCTCCAGCTTCAAGCAAGGAATCTATGTCAGAACTTTATTTTATTTTTTTAATGACTTGTATTCCTTTATGTGTCAATGTTGATTCAGCAATGACGTTATTGTTGACCTTTTATTATACTTTTTTTTTTCAATCTAACTACACTTAACAAAACAAAACAACACTTTTGTTTTTGCTCCCATTTTCCATGAGCCGAACTCAAAGATCTAAGACTATATGCACACAATCGATCTTTTTCTCTAAAATATTCTTCACAAATTTGTGTAAATCTGTGTTAGCGAGCACTTCTCCTTTGCCAAGATAATCCATCCACCTCACAGGCGTGGTTGGTCAAGATGCTGATTAGACAGCATGATTATTGCACAGGTGTGCCTTAGGGTGACCACAATAAAAGGCTGCTCTAAAAAGTGCAGTTTACTTTTCACACATCCCCTTCACATAGTGTTGATCAGGTTGTTGACCGTGGCCTGTGGAATGTTGGTCCACTCCTCTTTAACGGCTGTGCAAAAGTTCTGGAAATTGTCAGAAACTGGAACACACTGTTGCATACGCAGATCCAGACCATCCCAAACATGCTCAATGGGTGACATATCTGGCGAGTATGCTGACCATGCAAGAACTGGGCTGTTTTCATTGTGTACAGATCCTTGCAACATGGGGCCGTTATACAGTAATGCTGCAACATGAGGTGATGGTCATGGGTGAACGGCACAACAATGGGCCTCAGGATCTTGTCACTGTATCTCTGTGCATTCAAAATGTCATCAATAAAATGCACCTGTGCTTGTTGTCCATAACATACACCAGCCCAAACCATACTCCCACAGCCACCATGGGCCACTTAATTCACAACGTTGACATCAGCAAACCGCTCACCCTCCAGACACGCAGTCTGCCATCTGCTCTGTACAGTGAAAACTGCGATTCATCTGTGAAGAGAACACCTCTCCAACCTGCCATACCCCACCAAATGTGAGCATTTTCACGCTCAAGTTGTTAGGACGACTAACTGCAGTCAAGTGGAGACCCCGATGAGGATGAGCATGGTGATGATCTTCCCTGAGACAGTTTCTGACAGTTTGTGCTGAAATTCTTTGGTTTTGCAAACCGATTGTTGCAGCAGCTGGCCAGGTGGCTGGTCTCAGGCGATCTTGGAGGTGAAGATGCTTGATGTGGAGCTCCTGGACTGGTGTGGTTACACGTGGTCATCGGTTGTGAGGCTGGTTGACTGGACTGCCAAATTCTCTGAAACACTTTTGGAGGTGGTTTATGGTAGAGGAATTAAGATTCAACTAATGAGCAACAGCTTTGGTGGACATTCCTACAGTCAGCATGCCAACTGCACACTCCCTCAAAATTTGCAACATCCATGGAACTGTGCTGTGTGATCAAACTGCACATTTTAGAGCGGCCTTTTATTGTGGTCAGCCTAAGGCACACCTGTACAATAATCATGTCTAATCAGCTTGATACGCTACACCTGCGAGGTGGAAGGGTTATCTCAGCAAAGGAGAAGTGCACACTAAAACAGATTTACACAAATTTGTGAACAAAATTTGAGAGAAAATACCTATTACGTAAAAAGTAAGATCTTTGAGTTCAGCTCATGAAAAATGGGAGCAAAGACAAAAGTGTTGCATTTATATTTTTTATTCAGTAGACTTTTGTATACTTAAAGCTATTTTAGCCATTCATACATAAAAATGTTCAGCTCACTCAGGTGAAAAATTACTATGCCATTTTCTTTTTGTAATTTCAATTTTTTTTCAAAATATTTACCTTTTACTTTCCCCATAGAAACACAATGAAATCAATTCATTCTAAATCACATTTATTTTCTTAAAATCTACTCCAACACATTTGCTCAGTATAAATTTGCATGTTTCATTTAGCTTTTAGCCATGCCTTTGCTACTTTTAGCAACTCTTTTGATACTTTTATCAAACATTTTACTTCTGATAGCTGTTCTTTTCATTAAAAACTTCAGTTTCATCTTATTCAGCAAATTTCAGCCAAATCATTCAACATTAAGCATTTATCACTGCTTTTTTTTTTTTAGTTACTTTTAGTTTACAAGCTCACATTCATCTAACTATGACATATGAGTATACTTAAAATCCTTGTGAGGAAAAAATCCAATTAAACTGGAATGATGCATTCGATTAACAATATATATACCATGTGTCAAAATGTTGCAACAGTCAGCATAATTCTCATTTATTTCCAGCACTTTTTTTTCCAATTCCTACAGAATTAATGCATCAGTTCTGTGTCATTTATCCTCTCTGTGGGCTGATGGGAAACATACTGGTCATTTTAGCAGCAACCTTAGGGCAGCGTTAGTCCGTGGAAAACGGATATTACACAAGAAATTGTTCCCTTCATCTCACAGGCAGATACTGATATATTTGCCCCTCTGTGATAATAGGATCCATATTTCCATGTGCTGACATGCTCACATGCTGAATCTGTCAGCACTTGGAGCTTTTCCAGCTAAGTGTTTTTCTGCAGAGTGGATTTATTACAAAATAACTTCTATATTTAAACATAATGATAATTGTAGCAATATTAATGATCATAAGAATCATGTTTCTGAAGGATTCTTGGGGAGAGATCTTGATATGGAATGCTGTAGCCGAACAGTACTGTATATCCTGTTAGCTTTCTCAGCTTTGATCCAGCTCAAAGAATAAATAAATGGCCCAATTAATTTCATTGAGCGATTTATTTAAAATGTTACTTGTCAGAAAGTGAGCTGTGAGAGATTTTCCTCATGCGTACTAAATTTACAAAAGTCAGTTTTCTGCAAAGAAAGAGCGTTTATTCAAAATTTCATCCCGATTCCCTCGCCAGCTCGTTGTAGATTCATTTTACAAGCATGTGGTTTACAGTGAAAAGGTAGGATCGCTTTTTCAATCAGCCTAAATGTCTGTTCTTGTAATTTTTTTCGGCCTGCTCCTCTTACCCCTCCCCCTCGCAGATTCTAAAGTTAAGCTACAACAAGCTGAGAGAGATCGCTTCATCTCTGACCTTCTCTGGCCTGACATCGCTGCTGCGCCTTTACTTGGATCACAACCTCCTCCAGCACATCCACCCCCGGTCTCTGCTCCAGCTGCCTAGCCTCAGGCTGCTCCGTCTGCAGGGGAACAGGCTGCATCAGCTGCACCCTCATGCCCTGTGCACTCTGTCCCTCCTCAATACCTATTACTTTTCAACACTAAGGTGAGCTTTCACAAATAATGCACAAAGGTCATGCTTGTAACTTTCATAAAATTACCTAGATTATTGACAATGGTATATTTTTATTACCATTTTAAGATTTTTGCACAAATATTACTTTTTACCTCTTTCGTTTTCACACTCAGAACAGAATATAAGCATATCTGAACAGTAAAACAAGGATAAAAGCTGACGAAAATAATGGCTAATATCATTATTCCAAATAAATCTTTTTTTGTTTTTGTATCAATCTTTGCTTTGCTCTGCCATTTCCTCCTGTAGACACCTAGACTTGTCCAACAACAGTCTAACCACCCTTTCTAAAGAGAGTGTAGCAACAGCACCTCTGCTGGAGAGTCTCAACCTGCAGGCTAACCCCTGGAGCTGTGACTGTAGGATGAACTGGTTTCTCAGCTGGAGTCTGGCTCACCCAGGTGACTGTCATGTCTAAACATAATACTTTATTGGCTTATGATTGTATCTTGTTTAGTAGGTTTATGGTAAGCCACCAATTGCTGGGTCTTTAAGCTTGACTGACACATGATTAAAAACGAGAAGAAAAACTGCAGATTAGGAAAGCGAAAGGAAAAATAGAAAATTAATTTGAAGTGAACTAGAAATGTGTGACATTTTGATGCATGTTATTCAGATGCCCTTGACCTTAATTTTCTGCCTACGTTTTGTCACACATTCGTCACCGTTTCCCCCACTATCTTGTTTTTTCCAGTCTGTCTTTTAACCTTCATTGAGATGTAAAAGAAAAGCCGAAGCGTGAAATGTCTCGTTGATATGCCAGGCTTAACCTGCCATGACTAATCCGTGATAACAGCACTGATGTGAGGCAGTTGATATATAGGATGGTGATTGTGGCGCGATAATGAAGTGATAAATACTTTTGATTTATGAGACGAAATAACCATAACCAATTATTTAGAAACATAAAGCGTAATGAATGCTTTAAATAAAATGGTATGACTAATAAATGGCTCTAATATCCACTAAAATGTGCAGCAGCTGAAATGTGTACACTCATGTGTTTCTGTTTGAGTGACTTCCTGATGTGTGGTGATAATTTTCCTTTTCTATTTCTACATTTAGGTTTAATGAAATGTCCCAGTGGTCCTCAGTGTCCAGTCTGTGCCTCCCCCTATTCACTTCAAGGTCAAGGCTTGCTTGACCAGACGGCACTAATCTGTTCTTCACCAATCATCCTATCTCCAGGAAAAGAAACCCTTTTGGACACTGATCTTAGTGAAATCCAATCTAGTGAGACCTTCAAAGAGCCTTTAGGCAGTGTCTCACTGGGTCTGTCTGACCAGCAAGGGAACAGCATTGATGTGAGTTGTAATATTACTCACTCAACTGACTCGCAGGATATTGCTCCTCCACCAGATCTATCATGGACGTCCTCTTCACCTCTTCATCTCGCTATGACTTTCTCTCTGGAGTGCCCCACTGGGGGAAGGAGCTATGAAAAACTTTGGAGAATTTTGGCCTACTACAGTGAGACTGCAGCTCAATTTGAGAGGGAGATCATGCTCAGCAAAGCCCCAGCATTGGCCTACCGCTATAAACAGGCACCGGATGCAAGTGGATATTATCACACTGGAGTCAAAGCTTCTATTAAAGCCAGACCACAGTGGTTACTGCAGCCAGCAATTAGCATTCAGCTCAACAGAGCACAGTCTAATGGACTCAAAGTTCAGCTTACATACTCAACGAGAGTTTCTGCTCATCCTGATTCCACTTCTCGTCTCTTTACATCTTCTATGTCTCACCAGTGGGTGATGATTTCAGCCACTTCCACAGCACTTGCTGCAGCAACAGGCAAAAAGGTGGAGCTATCTTGCCCTTTTCTCAGTTCTGGTAGGCACAATGTTTCATGGAATCTCCCAGGTGGATCTAAACTCAACTCTCCCTTCATTAGTTTAGATGGAAGGCTCCAGGTTTCAGACTCAAGCTTACTTATAAGAAAAGTACAGCTCTCAGATGCTGGGATTTATTATTGTGTTGTAAAAGCTGGAAGGGATGTGGATGTTCTTCCTCTACGCCTTGCAGTGGAAGAGACTTCTGCTCCGTATTCAGCAGAACTAAGTGGACCTTCTGTTTCTCGAGCAGTTGGGGAAGCTGTCAGTCTGCCCTGCAGGATATCTGGCTCACCAGAACCATCCACGAGTTGGATTTTGCCAGATGGAAATGTAGTTCAGATGGGATTAACTGCATCAGAAGGACTCAAAGTCCATTCAAATGGTAGTCTCTCTTTACAAAAAATGTCTCTGAAAGATACCGGATATTACCGCTGCATTGCTGTCAACCAGTATGGTAGTGATTCTCTGTCCATGCAGCTAATATTAAATACACAACATATCTCTCCACTTGAGACTTCATTTCTCGGAGGACCACAGTCAGCCTCTGGCAGGTCAACCAAGATACGAGCCTCTTTATTCCAGCAGGTTAATGAAGGATCAGGGAATGACGAGGAAGAAGAACAGAAAACTCCTATTGGCAATAGGAGACAGACAATGTCTCGTTCAAATCTACAGCATCCTTCTGGAAAGCTGCAAAGACATGGACGTGTGAGAGAAGGGCCACTGAGAAGGATTGGAGGGACCATTTTACCCAATGAGCAGAGAAGAAGCCATAGCCAGAATAGACACAGAATCACTACAAACAAACTTAGAATGGACCCAAAGTCATGGGCTGAAATCTTGGCAAAGATTCGTCAAAAAGCTGCTAACTCCACTAATGAGCATACAATTTCAAGCAAAAACGCAACGGCTGATTCTGTCCAAGAAGACAACGAAAATCACAGAAGAGAACAAGTAGATGGTAATAATATAAATGAAGGCAGAGATCAAGAAACAAGGATGGAAGCAGAACCTGAAGAGTCTTCAGCTGATAATACTATTCTGAGAGAGGATCAGCCACAGCCCATTCAGCCTGCTCACAAAGACACACAAGCAAAACCAAGGAACAAAATCAATGCAGAGATAGAAAGTGGGGCAGAGACAACAGAAAAATATATAGATTCAGAAGTTAATACAGAGACAAATGTTCAGACAGAAAAAACAGGTCTACAAACACAAAAAACAGCAATCTCGCTGAATGAGTTAGTCACCTCTAATCCAAAGTCAGCAACCAATGAAATTGTTTTAGAATCAAATGAGGTGCATGGACAGGAACCAAACTTAAACCCACCAATGACCAGGGCCCACAATGCTCAATCTGGACTTTTCCATAATTCTGTTCCTAACACCCACCTTCAAAGCCCCTGGAACTCACGTAGAAAGATTGGACAACGAAGACGAACCAAGAGGCCAAAGATTCGACCTATGCCCTCACCTCCATCTCTATCTGACCCAGTAACACCTAAATCAACCACCGATAAAATCCCTTTGCTACCAACAGCCTCATATTCAGATACTATGTTGAGAGTTAATAACCACATTAAGACTACGTCAAATGTTGTGTCTCTGAATCCTCTGCCTACACTTTTTTCAGACACGCTTAGTATTTCCACTTCCAGCTTCATATCACTGTCACTTACTTCTTCCTCTGCCCACACAGACACAAACACAGACATTCTGACTCATTCAGTCAAAATACCACAAACTCAAGATTATACTTTTAACAGCACACCAACACCTACTCAACCTAATAATGTGATTTCAGAAAAGCATGTGCCAAGCATTCATAATAAGCCATTTACACATGGTATACAGACTCGCACAGAAACGCAAACAACTGTAGGCAAACACATTGAAAGACCCCCAAGCAGTGAGGAGCTAAAGAGCAATGAATTGGATGAGCCCCACCTTTCAAACACTCACGCTTTCACTTCTTCCTTTAACCCCCAAGCATCGTCAACTATCACTTCTGCTGCAAAAATCACAACTCTTGCAGCTACTTCCAGGACAGCTGGTTATGTTGGCAGCACTGAAAGTACATTAAACTTTATTACTGGTGCAGAGACTCTTTCAACAGCAACCCCCACAATAACACCAAGTCCCGCCACACTACCTTCAACCACCATTGCCATTCTGTTATCCCACACAATTAGACAGACTTTAACCCCTTCTACCTCTACTAATACCAAAACTACTACATCTACGTTTTCTCCAACTACTTTTTCAACTGAGACTTCTACTACCACAGTTGGCCCAATACCTTACACTTCTGATATTACGACAGTTCCTAGCACTAGAGCAAATAGTGCAACACTTTCCATGAAGGATATCTCTGGAACTTCCAACCTGTCTACTAGAAGAACTCCAGTCATAATTCCAACTACTACAAAAACTGTTTCAACAGAAACTCCTCAAATTACCACAAGGGAATCTAAAATGGACACTGTGTCAAGTACAACAACAGTGGGATCAACAAGTACCAAAGCCTTGTTACAAAAGATGCCAATCACTGGTCAGGTTGACATACAAATGAGACTTTTTCCTGGTACTACAAACCAGAGTCATACTTTGACTAGCTGGAAGAACCATGGAGCAAATTTTATTCCAGATTCACACAGAAATAGGCTTCACCAGCCTCCTTCATTGCCACTACCTGCTGTTCCAGTTGTGAGTACAACTAATCTATCTATCTATGTATGTATCTATGTATGTATCTATGTATCTATCTATCTATGTATGTATCTATGTATCTATCTATCTATCTATCTATCTATCTATCTATCTATCTATCTATCTATCTATCTATCTATCTATCTATCTATCTATCTATCTATCTATCTATCTATCTATCTATCTATCTATCTATCTATCTAATCTATCTATCTATCTATCTATCTATCTATCTATCTATCTATCTATC